GAGGAGACGTGGGTTCTCTTCTGGAAGGAGTTTGCTGTGGGAGTTCTTGGGCATCACTTTGGATTGATAGGAAATTTGTTCACTTGATGTTAAAAATAGGGAAGTTCAGGAACTTGGGAACAACGCTCCAACTACTACTAGTCTTTTGTACAGTCTGTAAGTTATTTCTGTTAGCCATTACTGATTCAACACGAAGATTTACGTGGTATTCATGATGATCTGGACTCGTCCACAAGAGTAGTCCACAGGACTAGTCAATGAGGGCTTTACCTAAATAATAAAACAAAATCTATGCTACATATGTACATAATTACACCGAGGAACCCATTACACAACAACCTCATTCAAATTGATGTCGGTCACGAAGCATCAATTTGCGGAACCAATGGCGACTTGTGGTGAACGATTTAGTGAATAGATTAGCAACTTGTTCTTCGAGTGTAATATACTGCAAGGGAACAATACCAACACGTACCACGTCACAAATGTAATGAATGTGGACCTCAATGTGCTTGGTACGATCATGTAGCTCAGGATTATTGGCAATGGACTCGCTACAACACAACTTCTAAGAATGACCAAGTGTAACCAATGAAAGGGACTGCTATATAGTAGAACAAGTAATAAATATCGATCCACGGGTCTCTAGAGTTATTATATTCAACTTCAGTTCATTATCTAGCAAACCAGATTAAGATGGAAGAACTATAACTACTCTAGCAAACTACAATTAAAGTTAATCTAATTACAGGTTGGGAACTCACTTAGGGTTGATTCTCCCTAGCCACTAGCCAGATTAATGATTGATTATCTCTAACCTGTTTCACTTTTATTCACAATGCCGAGAATCCTTGACTAGACCTTGAATCTCAACTATAGAAGTCAAGGCCCTCTTGAGTCGATTGCCTAGAGGATGTGTCCTTCTCTAGAACAACCGATCAAAGCGTTTTAAACTAGATTCCCTCTATCGAAAGACTTGATACGACACAAACACAAAACACGACAAGACAACGCCAAACTTGGTACACACCAAATGATTAAACTAGTAGTTCTTGGCTTTTTCTAGTACGTAAGACTCCCCGGCAAAGGCGCTAAAAACTTTATAAACGCTTATGCGCGATCTAGCTTTAAATTTATAAAGTCGAAGCAAACTCTCTATTCAATCCTAACTAAGCCAAGTATAACCTGGCCAGCGTTGTAGTAAGTGGCTCGGTCGTATTCCAAGGGATCCCTAAGTTTATTATTACTTCGCTCCGAACTACTATCTAATCGGGTTGGAAGTTTGGTGAGGGATTTGAGCTAATTTAACCTACTACTAAGGAAAAATAAACAACCAACCAAGTGGTTGGGAGAACGCGAAAGATGAGATGGTTGCCTAGGGTCGAATCCTCCTAGCTATGGTTGTCCAGTAGGGTTAATCGAATGTGGTGATTGAGCTCTTTTTCTGGGACTTTTATGGTTATCCACACGCCTCCGAGTATGCCTCCCCTAAACCCATATATAGTCACCTCGATCTAGGCTATCATTTCTGGGGCACTAAGCTGATGGCTCATTTCAATGGACACTATCCACCGTCCACATCGAGGTTTTATCCCGTATTCTATCTAGGAATGCTACCTATAGCAGGGGTTCGGTCGCCTCGACCACTATAGGCCCTCATTCATACATCTAACTCGATTTGTTTGATGGCGCATACCCGTCTAACTCTAAAACTCCAAACCCAACGTAGAAGTGTAAAGTAGGCTAGTAGAGAAACACATTCATTCATGAACCCATTCACACACAACCTATAAAATAGGGTTCATCTTGATATCACGACCACGACCTTTGTGTCCCTGGCGCGATCTTTTGTCGCGGTTAAAATACGCGATGCCCGCGATCTGGGTGAGGAAACTCTCTGCCTTCTTCTTGGTCGCCTAATAGAGTTCGTGGCCACTGATTACAACCACGATCTCAGGCCACATTCATTATCACGACCTGGTCAAGGTAGTCACGTGTGGTCTTGACCAGCGCCTTTTCTCCCCTTCTTGCTCCTATGCTTCTCAATCGTGCTTGGATGAACTCCAATCGATTCCCGATCAATCGAAAATGAATATAAGACTCGAAATTTCATCACAAATTCTTGGGAAAGCATAAAATACGATACATTGGGGTCGGTTCCCCTATGAAAACCTTCATATCATGAATACCTATGCTAAAATGCATGTTTTGCAAATAGAAACCAATAGGCATAAATAACATGATATGTGGCCTAGACACGGTGATTTAACATGCAAATGCCTTGGGAATGGGGGCTAATAATGCCTATTTTAGGTGTTATCAATAACACCATCTATTCTATTCCATTCCATTCAAACCAAACCTTCCGTTGAACTAGTAACCTCACAAACATAACAACTACATCTTAACTTAACAAATTCCCCTTGGCTTAAGCTTCACCAACGGTCCATGCTTCATGTAAAGTGTGGTTGTGACCTTCGGAACAACACACTGCCCATCAACAACTTCAACAGAGTACCTCCACAAGACTGAAGCAACCACCATCTTCTTCTGTGTGTAGGCAAATTTCTTCCCTAAACACATCCTTGAACCGACATTGAACACAACATACTTGAACTGATTCTCTCTCACAACCCTCCCATCTTTGATCCATCTCTCTAGCTTGAACTCCAAGCAATCCTCCCCCTACAAGGATTCTATCCTAGTAGCCATTCAACAATGTTATCAAGATCACCTCCAAAGTGCAAATTCGATAATAAAGAACAAAATATACATATCAGGTTGTAAAAGAATTATCCACGAGATAAAAATATGATAATGGTCTCTATTACCATACATATGGAAAAATCCCTAAATAAAAGGGTTGCAAGAATTGGTAATGGTTGTTGGACACCCAAGCGAATTGGAAATGGTTCGCTCTAAACAAACTCGAAGCACTATTAGATTGGTGATCAAACAGGCGAAATACAACGGTTGGCTGCCAACTCCCCCAATCCATTTTTACTGAGAATCTCTATCCCTGCACCCTATCCTGAAGCATGTCTGAAGAAAGTGATCGCACATGAACTATTGGACATAGTTCGCTTTACTTGCCAACGATCCACCATTGATCGCTTTACTCTCCAGCAAACCATAGTTGTCCGGCTTACTTGGAAGCAAACCAAAACAACGGGTGTAAGGGATCACTGCATGTTTCGGCGAACTATACAATTCACTTTTCTATCCCATAATCTATTGGATAGCTCACTTACTGTCCAGGAACAGCCTCAAACTCTAATATTTTCAGAAATCTTTTGAAAAGTGTTTGATTTGGGCCTAAATGTACACTTTTTATCCCCGTTTTCCTTAGGCGTTTGAGGCATTTTCACTCCGAGAGGTTTGGTTTTATGCTAGGTTTTGCCTTGTTTTAGCATGTTTCACACTCGAGTAGGTGGAATCAACCCTGGAGTCAGAAGTTGGACGAAAAGACGCAAAATCGGGTCAAAGGATGGAGGCAGTCGCAGATCACGGAAGAAGCAGATAGTTCACAGTCAGGAGGACCTTGAATTGAAGCCAGAGACCGTGAAGCGCCATGCATCCAGAGCCATTTTCGGTCTCACTACGCTCAAGCTAGTTCACGGTCGTAAGATCGTGAACCCAAGCCAGAGACAGTGAAGAGCCTAAATAACGCGGTGCATTTTTGCTATAGTTCACGGTCCCCGCCAGATGTTCATGACCGTGAACTGGGATCGTGAAGCATTCTCAATTAGTTTCAAATCCATTTACTTTTACAAATATTTTAGCTCTAGATCGTTGTTTTCACCAAAAACCAATCGCTAGATAATGTTTCAAACAATCGAAGTAGGGGTACATGGACCTGCCCGGGTTGATATTTAAACATACTTTCCCTATATTATATTCAATAAGGTTTATACTTTGGGCCCTAATTGGGAGTTCTATTGTGATATTCAGGACGAGTTAGTGTTTGTATTATATAATTTTCTTTTTTCAACTTTAGCAATTTTCCCCCATTCTAATTGACTAGGACTCTCCAACAAGGTTGGGGCGATATTAAATGAATCATATTCCAAAAAAAGGAAATGTGATGGTGTCATAGGTAATTGGAAGATGTAGTGAAGTAGTTTGGATGGTGGAACGTTGTCGAGAGAAATCTATCCAAGCCTAACCAAATAGACCTCAACATCATCGATCAAGGTTTTCCAAAAGGGAAGCAAAAGCCAATGGTAAGCAAGGGTTAGCCTTCAATCTCCCATCAACCCACCACTAAATCTGTTAGTCGATCTGGGATTAGGGATTTGTTCGAATGAATCGGTAAAGTGTACTGATAAGAAATGAGGAAGAAGATGAAAGCCACGTGGACAGACTTATGTTCTCTATCTCAGACGTTGTGGGCTTAGATAAGTTTAGGCCCAGTCGATCAATTACAGAGAAAAAGGCGAGTGGGCTTAAGAAAACAAAGCCGTAAAACAAGACCGAATTATTCACAGCCGTGCTTGTTCAATCTTCCAAGGCCAGAAGCAGAATAGAGATACGAAGGAGAGGAAGAAGAAGGAAATTTAAAAACAGGAACACAGAGACAATTTAACGAGGTTCACCCAACAATGGTTACTTCCTCGTCCCAGCAGTCGTACACATTCCTGTTGAGAGACACTATATTTTCTGATTAGAGAGACACAGGTACAAAGAAACTAAAATATGAAATAAGGAACAAAAAAACCAGAGATTGACACAAACTCTGAACCACTACAGCCACTCTCACAGATCCTATACCCCTAGAGATGAACCATTTCACCCTCAAGAATAAAAGCCCTCTACCACTCTTTGCTTGATGTAAAAGTTGCCCACGAGTCGTACACTGCTAGGAATATATAGCCTGCCTCTTAGCTAGCCGTTGGGAGAAAGTATCTGTTGCAGCAGGCCGAGATTGATGCTGAAAAAGATCAAGTTTCCCAAAAGAAACACTTTCCTTTAATGAGCGATTTGCAAGCTCTAATCTTCGCCCAACAATCTCCCCTATATTAGAGATTGCAAACGATACTGATCCTGCAGAGAAGATAACAAAGCACAAAACAGCCAAAACAGCCAGAACAGGAAATCACACAAGAAAAATGCAAAAATAGGAAAACTTATACCAAAACAATCCAACATCAAACAACCACCATAAAGCACCAACGAAGTTTCCAGTACGGTGCACAAAAAAAATGACAAGGAACTCCCTGTAAATACCAACTCCCCTTGAGCAAAAGCCAACTCAGTCATCATCAGAGCCAAAATCATCTTAGCTATAGTCCACAAGTCCACCTGGCATCACAACAGAAGCAGCAATATGGAAACCTTCTTCAGCATAAGCTAGTGCCGCAGCAAAACGATCAAGATCATTGTCATCATTGTCCGCCAAGTCTTCCAAAATCGCTTCTGCTGCATCTGAATCATTTTCATCATTGTCCGCCATGTCTTCCAATTTTGCTTCCGCTGCATCTGGAACAGGATTATCGCCTTCTTCTTCAGGATTGTCATCTTCAACAGTAACATCAGCAACCATCTCCCCCTCGTTTGCAAGCTCCAACTCATCCAACACTTGATCGATGGTAAAGAACTAAGATGGTTGCTCAGTGCGAAAAGAAGATAAACTAATGTTCAGACGAAGAATGAGCTGAGTAACTAGAGGCCCAAAAGGAAGAGGATCAGGATGGCTAGAGTCTTTGAAAGTCATGAAGACGCCAAAAAGAAGATAAAAAAATCCAATGGTACTCCAGACACAACATGTGCCATGATCCACAAATCCAGAGGAAGAATGGCATCCACTCACTGAGTACGAGGAAACATAATCCTAGAGATGACAAAGTGCAGAGCACGAAGGCTAGGAAGAACAGAGGTGGCTGGAAGGTAAGTTGCTGGGCCAGGATGAATGCCAGTCAATTGAACAAATTTGACAGCAACATTGAAGTTAAACCTCCAAAGCTCGGATTCATGGGTGAGAGATTCACCAATGGATGGGATATTTAGGAGAGGAGCTAACTAGGAGACGGGGATGGTTACCAGACAACCAAAAACAACAGTAGAGAAGCTGCGAATGTGAAGACCAAACTAGCGTAGATTAGAATAGAAAAACCGGACCAGCTCAGGGCACACCAAGGAAGGGGGGTCGAGGAACATAAAATACCACCCAAGATTGAGAATGAGTCCCCTTACATCAATACCATAATCCACGAAGTCAGGAATATGGACATGAATCGGGGTAGCAATGGGACGATTTTCATAAAAAGGAGTATGTCGATGGCGGCTGACAGACACAGGATCAGAAAATAGTGAACTAGTATATGACTGGGCAAAGACACGATTCATGGTGAAAGCTGGAAAAGGGCGAAACGGTGAAGGCTTGGAAGGAACACGAAGAGAACCAGGAATTTATGGAGAAGGCAAGACATTAAGATTGGGAAACTGAAGCGACAAAGGAAAGTGGGAAACTAAACACACTGATTGCTAAAAATTAGAGCGAAAAAAAAAAGAAACAGAATCAGCACACAAAAGTCAAGTAAACAAAAAAGTAAAGGAAAGTACACACACCAATAACTGCAGATATCAATCAAGAAAATCAGAGAGATTCTCCAAGGACCGAAGTCCAATTTCATAGCACAGAAAGATGAATCGATCTCAAGAGAGAGGTTTTGTGAATAAGTCAGCTAATTGAAATTCAGTGGATATGTAATCAAGCGAACTGACCTTATTCTGAACCAAATCCCTGATAAAATGATATTTGATTTCAATGTATTTTGTTCGTGAATGTTGAACCGGGTTCTTGGTCATACATATAGCACTGGTATTATCACAAAACAGAGGTATAGTGTGAACGTTGAGACCCCAATCTTTTAGTTGATACTTTAACCAGAGCAATTGAGTGCATCCCCCACCAGCAGAAATATATTCAGCTTCTCTTGTTGACAAAGCAACTGCACCCTGTTTCTTACATGACCAAGACACAAGAGAGGTTCCTACGAACTGACATGACCCGCTAGTGCTTTTACGATCTGTTAGGCTGCCAGCAAAATCAGAATCACTGTAGCCTTGTAGATCAAAACCATCTTGTTTGGGATACCAAATGCCTACAGAGGCAGTGTCCTTGAGATATATGAAAATCCGTTTAACAGCAGATAGATGGCTAGCTTTTGGGGCACCTTGAAATCAAGCACAAAGACACACACTGTACTGTATGTCAGGACGACTTGCGGTCAAGTAAAGAAGTGACCCTATCATCCCACGATACAATTTTTCATCCACAAATAAACCATTTTCATCTTTATCCAATTTCAAATTCACAGCCATTGGAGTAGGACTGGAGTTGAGATTGGAAAGATTGAACTTGTGCAACATAGTCTGAATATACTTAGACTGACTAATTAAAGTACCATGAGTGGTTTGATTAAATTGAAGACCAAGAAAGTATTGTAGCTCTCCCATCATACTCATTTAAAAAACACTCTTCATAGAATCTCAAAATTCAGAACACATAGAAGTATCAGTAGCACCGAAGATAATGTCATCGACATATATCTGGACAATAAGAAAATTCTTATCACAGTGTTTGATAAAAAGAGTTTTGGCAACTGATCCTTGCACAAACAATTGCTCCTAAAGAAAAGCAATTAAGCGATCATACCAAGCTATTGGTGCCTGCTTGAGGCCATAGAGAGCCTTATTAAGCTTGTAAACATATTCAGGATGTTCAAAGTAAGTGAAACTAGGGGGTTGGGACACATAAACTTCTTATTGAATCTCACCATTCAAAAACGCACTTTTCACATCCATTTGAAACAGAGAGAAGTTCATATAGCAAGCAAAAGCACAGAGAAGTCTAATTGATTCTATACGGGCTATAGGAGAAAATGTCTCATCAAAATCTATGCCCTCCTCTTGATAGTATCCTTGAGCAACCAGACGAGCTTTGTTCCGAACAATATTACCATCCTCATCAGATTTATTTCGAAAAATCCATTTGGTTCCTATGATAGTTTTACCTATAGGCCTAGGCACAAGCTCCCAAACTTATTTAATTCTTCTAGCATAGCATAAACCCATTCCTCATCATGCAACGCCTCTTTGTAAGATTTAGGTTCTAATTTAGAAACATAGGCGTACTGACCTGGAGTATACTTACCTTGAGTTCGCAAGCCATTAGTAATGTTACCAATAATTTGACTTACTGGATGACGTTTTTGGATTTGAGGATGAGCCCTAACTTCGGTTTCATCAGCATCTTGTGAAGAGGAAAGAGCAGGTTCTGATTCTGACTGAGAATATCACAGTTTAAGTGAATTTATCAGTTGAGCAGATGATTCACTGTTATTAGAAGCTTCTTCAACATCCTTGTCCTTCCAACGAGTTAACTCTAGCAGGTCAAGAACCTGTGTCCCTGTCTCATAAGTCTTGGTGTAAGAGTTAGTTTTATCAAACAAAACATGAACTGAATCTTCAACCTTGCGAGATCGCTTGTTAAATATTCTATAAGCTTGCCCTTTCAAAGAGTAACCTAGGAAGATTGAATCATCTGACTTAGCGTCAAATTTTCCAAGAGTTTTTTGTATTAAGGGTAAAACATCGACAACCAAAGGGGTGAAAATATGATATATTAGGTGTCTTTTTATGTAAGACTTCATAAGGAGTCTTGTTCAGATATTTACGAACCAACACTCTATTTATGACATAACACACAGTACTAAAAGCTTCTGCCCAAAAATATTTTGGGAGATTATAGTCCAGCAACATAGTTCTAGCCGTTTCGATTAAAGTATGATTCTTCCTCTCAACAACCCCATTCTGTTGGGGAGTTCAAGGAACAGAGAAAGTATGACGAATACCCATGGATTCACAGAAGTATGAGAACTCATCAGATATAAATTCTCCTTCGTTGTCACTTTTGATATTCTTTATTTCTGAGTTCATTTTGACAAAGGACTGAAAGCTTTTAAAAGTTTCGTCCTTGCTGGCAATAAAGAATACCCAGGAGTATCTAGAGTAGTCATCAACCAAAACAAAAACGTAAGTTTTCCTCCCAGACTAGTGACTATACAAGGACCAAATAAGGCCATATGTATAAGCTCAAAATGTCTAGTAGTAGCTTTATTATTTTTGGCTTTAAAAGGCTTTCTAGAATGCTTCCCAACAGCACAAGCACTGTAGAAGAAGTTTCCACGTTCTTTTAGATCAGGAATACCGCGAACCAACTTGGATTTTGACGGAGGAGCCAGTCTTTTCAGACTGATATGCCCAAGTTTTTATGCTAAGCAGTTTCCTAATGATGAACTTGAGAGACAAGACAAGACTCATTAAACGCATATAAATCAAACAGATCAATAACGTACATGTTACCAATTTCCTATAAAAATAATTTTTTTATCACGAACACGTTCAACAAGACAATGAGAAGTTTCAAAAGTTACTCTATTCCCACTACTACATAATTGACTTATCGAAAGAAAGTTGTGCTTGAGACCATCTACAAGCATGATATCTTCAACAGTGGGCATGGGAGACAAGCCAATAGTTCCTTGTCCCACAACTCTACCTGCACTGTTATCTCCAAACAGTACTTCACCTCCTAGCTTATAGTTTAGAGATGAAAAGAGGGTTTCATTACCTGTCATGCGATGAGAGCAACCGCTATCCAGGTACCATTTACTTTCCGTCTTACTTTGCTCACTGTCTTTGAGCATGATTTCTTCAGTGTGTCTATAATTTTCATTCTCCGTAGTAGACATTTTTGCCATATATGTTTCCTCTGTATGTCCCTCAATTTCTTCGTCGGACTCATGATCACTGCATGAGGCTGCCGTTGCCCTCTCCTTGGCTCTTAACGTCATAGGACAGTTGGCTCTAACATGTCCCATCTTACCGCATTTGTAGCACCCTTGAGGCTCACGTTCAATGACTCCTGCTGGAGCATCTCTTACCTGCGAATTAAGTCTTTCAACAGATATATTCTTAGTTCTACCAGGAGTAAATCTTCCAACATCACCACTACATTGAGAAAATTAATTTTGCTTAAAATTTTGATAAGGAAAACGATTACTAGACTTAGAATAGCGACCAACTGAACCAGAGAATCGATTGTTTGACTCTTGAAATCGATTCTGCGGCTCATAGCACCCTCTGCTATCCAAGGCACGCTGTCTTTGATCATTTTTGTGTTTCATCATACGATGAAAATTCTTGCTGACCATAGCCAGCTCCCTTTCAAAGTCTAAATCAATTTCATTATGAGACTTATATTCATAGACACGACTTTTAAACGCAAGACTCTTCTTATGTCTCTCATTTCCTTTCCTACTTGCCTAATAAGATGCTCTTGACTCAAGAGAGATCCAACCAATTCATCGACAGATAATATATTCAGGTTTTTGGCTTCTTCTATGGAAGTACGCTTAGGTAGCCACTCCTTAGGTAAGGATCGAAAAAAAATTCTGACCATATCTTTTGTAGGAATAACTCTTCCTAAACCTTTCAGCTTGTTGGATAATCTAGTGAATCTAGAATACATATCATGAATTCCTTCATTGGATATCATATCAAAAGTCTCATATTCATGCATAAGTAACTCAATACGAGTTTCTTTGATATTTGAAGTACCTTAGTAAGTCAATTCGCGAATGATCCATATTTCTTTGGCAGTTTCGCACTGCTCTACTTTGTCGATTTCATCAGGCGAAATGGTCGTTTGAAGAATGTTCATAGCTCTACAATTGAGATACACACTCTTCTTTTGAGTATCCGTCCATTCGTCCTGACGTTCTGGATCCATTTCGACCGGTCCATCCCGACCAATAACCCAGAGGTCAACATCGATTCCCCACATGAAGGTCTTCATGCATTTTTTCCAGGCATTATAGTTAGAGCCTGTGAACCAGGGAGAATTGTGATGGGAAGCCGGGCCGAACGCAGCTTGAGAATTGGATCCCATTGATCGTAACCTTTGGCAGTAGTTAGCTCTTCAAAGGAAGGCTCTGATACCACTTGTTAATGATCTGGGATTAGGGATTTGTTCGAACGAATGGGTAAAGTGTACCGAGAAGAAATGAGGAAGAAGATGAAAGCCACACGGACAGACTTTTGTTCTCTTTCTCAAACGATGTGGGCTTAGATAAGTTCAGGCCCAGTTGATCAATTACAGAGAAAAAGGCGAGTGGGCTTAAGAAAACAAAGCCGTAAAATAAAGACCGAAATATTCAGAGTCGTGCTTGTTCAATCTTCCAAGGCCAGAAGCAGAACAGAGATACGAAGCAGAGGAAGAAGAAGGAAATTGAAATAACAGAAACACAGAGACAATTTAACGAGGTTCACCCAACAATGGTTACTTCCTCGTCCCAGCATTCGTACACACTCCTGCTGAGAGACACTATATTTTCTGATCAGAGAGACACATGTACAAAGAAACTAAAATACGAAACAAGCAACAAAAAACCAGAGTTTGACACAAACTCTGAACCACTACAGCCACTCTCACAGATCCTATACCCCTAGAGATGAACCATTTTACCCTCAAGAATAAAAGCCCTCTACCACTCTTTGCTTGATGTAAAAGTTGCCCATGAGGCGTACACTATTGGGAATATATAGCATGCCTCTTAGCTAGCCGTTGGGAGAAAGTATCTGTTGCAGCAGGCTGAGATTGATGTTGAAAAAGATCAAGTTTCTTAAAAGAGACACTTTCCTTGAATGATCGATTTGCCAGCTCTAATCTTCACCCACCAAAATCCAACTTCCAACGCCGATTATTTGAAGTCGCCTTGTAAGAAGGGCCTCGTGCAATTCTATAGATCTGTCTGCTCCGGCCGGCGGCTCTCTTAGTTGTCTACAGCCTAGCTCTTGCCCAATAGAGGACTGCTCACTAGTAAACGATATATGATTAACGATTAAACCTCTTCCAATAACTCAAGTTATTGGGATAAATTGGTTCTTTACATGGTATCAGAGCTTTTTGTGACCTTGAGGTCCTCTGTTCGATTCCCGGTGATCCCCATCTGTTTCTGTTAAGCACACGGTATCCGGACCTGTGCTTGCCCAAACTCCAAGCATATATGAATGGCTTGAGTTTGAAGGGGTGTGTTAGTAAACGATATATGATTCACGATTGAACCTCTCCCAACAACACGAGTTATTGGGATCAACTGGTCCTTGACAATATCTGCATGTGGTGGCTTGCCTTTTCTCCTACGAGCCCGCCTCTAGTCCCTCCTACGGCTCCTCCAACAAAAGCTTTCTTCTACTAATGCTTTCTTTGCCCATCAAGTTGGTATCGATAGACCCGCAAAAACCTGAACCACAGGCAGTGGGTGATTGATGTGGATGGATTGTGTACTGATAAATCTCCTACCCGCACTTATGTAAGGGGGTGGTAGGTGGATTATAGGTCACCCGAATGACCCGCACCATATTTTCATCTTACTAAATATTTTCCTTTCTTTTTCCTCTGCCTAAAATCCTTCTTTTCCTTTTTCTTCTTCTTCTTCCTCGAGGAATACTTCCTTCATCAACTTCTAAATTTTTTCAATTGCGAGCTCGAGAAAAAGCTCAAAAAATACTCATTCTCTAAAGACTTTGAGGGATGTTTTACTGGAGCTTTAAATTTAAATAATTAAGTAGTGGATTGAAGAATAAGAAGGATTTTAGTAGGAAAAATAAAAGAAGAGCAAGATTAATCGTCATAGAAGATAAGAGTATGAGAGGTTATTTTTAGTTTAATTTAGTAATTTCAAAATTTTAGGCTCTAAAATTTTAATCAATTGTGTGATGAGGTATCTAGACACAAGGTCCTATTTATGATTTTGTTAACTGTGACATTAACTTTAAAAGAAAACCGTTATCAAATTGTATTTCAAAATGTTTGTTTATTATTTTGCACAAAATAAAATGTTTGGCCATTAAATCATTTTAATCCTATATTTTGGCTCACATGTTAAAACTCAGCAGCATTAGTAACCACGTTAAAGTCGACTAATGTTTGACTAGATGAAAAGTTAACAATTTTGCTAGTATTTTTCTTTTAAGTTTGGATATTTTTTATTTAAAATTAAAGGTTTGAATATTATATTATTTTAATTCAAATCATTACTTGTATCTTCTAAATACTCTAATAAAATATTTGTTGAAGTTTTGTTATCCTCTCACGTGAATCCGGGCCTCCACTTAGCCGGCGCAAATCTCGTCTTCATTAAACCATAACGTAGTAACTAATAAGCACTTATCATTCGTAGCTTATACGTAATGCTCGATGCAGATGCATAATTAGCAGTTTGGCTTCCCCGTATGTAGTTGTGTGCTCCATGCATATAGTTGTAAACTTTGGAAAGCACGCAACAAGAGGATGTTTAGTACAATCCATTGCAGATTGTTACTAAAAAAAAATTGGTTTTTATCCTTTTTTTTTGGCAAAATTCATTTGTGTAGCCAAAACTTTGGCGTTGGTGACAATAATAGCCACTTTTAGCGAAATACTAAAAATAGCCAAAAAATTGAAAGTTTGATGACAAAAATAGTCATTTCCGTTACATACCTTAACGGTGTTAGAAGTTTCGTCAATTAGCTTAATGTTATGCTGACTAGGATGCCACGTTGACGTACTCATCAACAATAAATATGATATACTTGCCATGTAGATGCCACATCGGCCACCTAAGACTTTAAAAAATATCCAGAAAAATTAAATGCTCCTCCTCTTAGAGTTCTCCTCCACCAATCACCCATATCAAACCTCATTATCGTACTTCTCCGACCATTCCATCCCACCACCACCGTCATGAACCCTTCCTTGTCCACCACCACATGATACTCCGACTAGGCAAAAGCTCCCAACCGGCCGTCGCGTATATCATAGTCCCGTCATAGCTTCCGCTAAAAACAAATCCACAACCAACGCCTCCGTCCCCTCCTCCGCCGTAATCCATATGTCCCTTCAAAATTCAAAATCCAAATGCAATTAACCATCGCCGGAGACCACCATCAGCTCCTCCCACAGTCCCAAACTGACTTTGACGATAGCAATTTGTTTCCTAGTGAGAAACTTGCGTTGAAAATAAATTGATTGCACCTTTGACTTCTTTGGACAACGATCACTAAACACGGTTCACACCTCTTCAAACACAGTTCGAACGAGGGTGTTCGATGTTTACACGACTCTCGAGACAGATCTACATTAAGTTACTCCTACTCCTATGGAGGTTCTAAGAGAGCTCCAGATCTACGACTATTGATAAAAATTTGCAGAGGAAAGATAGGATTGATAAAACTTGACAAGTGGTGTCGAGTGGTAATTTTTTGCGGGCCTCTCCTCTGTCGACTCCTCCTCCTATTTATAGGCCTTGAGATGATAACCGCCGTAGAAACTGTCATAGAGTAACTTCCAAAAAGAACTGCTCCCTGCTTCCTCGGAACATGGCTGACGTGTCCTTTGAACGTGTATGAGTAGCCGTTACTTCTCAACTGCCTAGGTACCTCTCTTGAAACCGTCGTAGGATCTTGTAGCTTGCCTCATATATCACGGTCATGGACTTCTTTACTCATGTCCATGGCCCTCTTGGGACTTAGTCTCTAGTGATATAATATTTCATCCCCATGTCATTCTCCTTCGTGTCCATGGCTCCTCTCATAAGGTGGCATGGCCCCTCAGAATTATCATATGGCATGGCCTCTTGTTTGCACTCATGGACCTCTCAATCATGGACATGGCCTCCCTCATGAAGTAGCAAGTCTTTCCCTATACTTAGAATATTTTCGTTTGTTTGGTTTAGATCATGAGGCGGCATTGCCTCTTTATTCGCGACCATGGACTTCTCATTCATGTCTGTGGCCCTTTCCGTTGGACGGCATTGGCCTCCTCATACTTAGTATTTTTCACGTGCCCAAGTCCTCTTGTCTCGTGTCCATGGCCGTCACATATGACACGGTCATTGACCTCTTAATCACCCACATGGCCCTATATTCTCATACTTAGAATATTTTTTATCGCACCGGGTCTTCCTTGAGGTGGCATGTACCTCTTCCAGACTTAGTTAAATTTTCACTCATTCGGTCTTATTGGTGAGGCGGCATGGCCTCTTCGTTGAGTCGGCATGGCCTCTAGATCTCATACGGACGCGACTCTGTTTGATGAGGCGGCATGTCCCTCTTTAGACTTAGTGGCTTGGGCTTAAAATCAATATCCATAAGGCCCAACTGAAACATTAATTGTTATAATGGGGGTGGCCTTATAAACTCATTAATTATCTTGTAACTCACCAATGTGGTACAAGACAAATTTTATGGTGTAAACACAAATATAAGCAAAAACGAGACCCAACTAAGCGTTGCCGTAGTTTCATATCCATACCCCAATTTGGAATTCGTCGACGCCGCCGGCTCTCATCGCTGTTCCATATCAACATCTTTGCTTTGACCGAGGAACTGCTGACTTTACCCATCGTTCGATCATCACCTCCCCTGCACCCTGATGCAAAGATGGTCAGGGGAAGAGAGTACCAACAACTGCATCGATCCAATAGGGGGAAATTCTAGGGTTGGAATTGAGTTTTTGATTTGGCTTTTTGGTAGAGGGATTTTTCACTGGCGACTCGTCCCTACCTCCAAACTCTGGCTCCGATGAGGACCTTCAGCAGCTGGTGATGCAAGAGAGGAATCTCGGTCGCCGATGAGGAAGCTGAAGCATCCCTCCCACCGTCGGTGCCATGGACTACACCGACAGCGATATCGACAACGGGTCTGTATCGCAGAAAAGCAATGGCGGCGTGCTGAAGAAGGCTAATTAAGTCATGTCTTAATTCTCCCGCTGTTTCGAACTCACCACCACCGTTGAGGAACCGCCTCTTACCCCTTTGTCTTTCGTTTCGATTTTCGAGTTGGACTTGTGCCAGAATTGAGTTTTTCATATCTCGCCCGCTGTTAATTGGATTTCTCTTAGCTCTTATCCATCACCGCCCAATAAATAGTGGGAACCCTAGCAAGGAAAGATGCATGGTGGAGGGGTTAGTTGCGGGGAGGGAGATTTTCAGCGATGAGATGAGCGGCGGATGGAAGGGGAAAGAACAGAGAGGGCAGGGAGTAAACACAAAAATATTTAATAATTTATTTTTTATTTTTTGAATTAATTCCACCTCATATATTGGTATTGACCCAAAAGTTGACAAGTCGGCTTTTCCGTTAGTCCAGTCAGCATGTTAATTGACGCCATTAAAGAATTGGATGGAAGTGGCTATTTTTGGTATTTCGCTAAAAGTGGCTATAACTAACTAAACGGTCAAAGTTTTGGCTATACAGATGTATTTTGCCTAATTTTTTTAACTTTTATTGAATTTGGCTGATTTCTAGTTAATACGAGTGATCTTTGGGAGAAAAAATCAACATAAATATAATAGATAATAATTAGAGTAGTTAACATAATGCTAACTACTATAGATAGCAGCACTCTAACTTGCCCGTTAATTTCAAATCTTCCAACTACAGACCCCTAAGCACAAGCACAACTAACGTCCAATTAATGAGGCGAAGTCATCCAACTTAGAATTAGGAAAGTTCGTACTTAATACATGCATGTAGGATAGCAAAATGGGATACTAACCACTAAGGTGCTGATCGCTAGCCACCCACTACCACCTATTAATAACACTACCTATTCTATTCTATTCATCTCACCCAACCCTTACGTTGAACTAGTAACCTCACATCACAAACATAGCAGCTACATCTTAACTTAACAAATTCCCCTTGGCTTAAGCTTCACCAACAGTCCATGCTTCATGTAAAGTGTGGTTGTCACCTTAGGAACAACACACTGCCCATCAACAACTTCAACAGAATACCTCAACAAGACTGAAGCAGCCACCATCTTCATCTGTGTGTAGGCAAATTTCTTCCCCAAACACATCCTTGGACCGGCATTGAACACTGCATACTTGAACTGATTCTCACTCACAACCCTCCCTTCTTTGATCCATCTCTCTGGCTTGAACTCCAAGCAATCCTTCCCCCACAAGGATTCCATCCTAGCAGTCAATTCAACAATGTGATCAAGATCAACTCCAAATCGCAAATTCGATAATAAACACTAAAATCTATACATCAGGCTGTAACATAACGTGAGAAAAATATGACAAATGATCGATCATATGACGCGTTGTAAGGAAAATTTCGACCTTTGTTACCTTGCGGTCGAGAACATGCAGTAGAAAACTCTACCGCCCTTCTTCACCATCGATCCATCAGGAAGCATATCATCTTCCATAACTTCCTTCATTTCAGTTGGAACAGGAGGGTACAACCTTAAACTCTCCGACAATGCTGCCTCCAAATAAACCATCTCCTTCAATTCTTCATCTCTTAAACAACCATGGTGTTTTTCGCCATCACCTGGATTTCCAACAACCCTGTTGATCTCACCAACAACAATCCTTTCCACTTCAGGATTCCTGCTCAGCAGCCAGAAGAACCATGCCAGGCCAACCGAAGTTGTGTCCCTTCCAGCCAGAATGAAACTCACACAGAAATCCCTCAAGTACTCATCCGAAACCTCGTCGGGACCTCGATGATTCCTCTGCATAACCCTCGAGAGAAGATCGAATTCGCCATCCAAGTTCCCGTCTTTACGAAGCTTCTCCTTCCTTTCCCTCACGATCTCATCGGCAAACCCATGAACAACCTCCACAGCTTGCTTCAACTTCCTCTCGTACCCAATTAAGAACCATTTCATCGGCTTCCATACGAAAGGTGGCACCAGAAATCTAACCAAAGTGAACTCCGTTGCTTCCTCGAAAGCCCTCGCGAAAGGGTTCAATTCAGGGGAAGTCAGGCATTCAGGGTCAACGCCAAACGCTACAGAGCAAATGTTGTCAAATGTGAGTTTCAACAACAATTCCTGAAGGTCGAAGCTCTCCCCTGACTTCAACTTCCCCTCCATGACTTGAATCAACTTGTTTTGGACCAAGTGCACCATGGATTTGTACGAATATTCTACGAATCGAGGGGAATGCATTTCGGATTTAGCTACCTTCCTCTGTTCCTTCCAGGACTCACCATCGGCGTTAAAGATGCCGTCTCCGAGCAAATCGTTGAACCTTTCGCGGAAGTAATGGCCTTTCGGGTAGTTTCTGAAGTTGGTTTTCAGCATGTGTTCGATGTTGGAAGGGTTTGAAGTGACGACTCCATGGGCGCCTCCCATCCACATTCCTCTGTGGGCGAAAGTCCCGCCGGCTCTGTTCATGGAATTAGTGACGAAAGTGTAGACGTCGTTAATGTTGGTGAGAAGGGTTGGGATTATTCCGAGGACTGGCCACAGCATGGGGCCTTTGTTTGTGATTCGCTCGCGGATGGAGCAGAAGATGAAGAGGGAGAGTAAGGCAATGGCGAAATCCCAGATGGATGCGTGAGAGAAGAAGAAAAACAGAGTGGTCGACATCGCTTTGTGAAACAGAGGAATTATGGGGTAAGCAAGGTCTTTTCAGTGAGGTTTGTGGCCTGTTGATTATTTCGCTTTTTATGAAGCAGAGTTTCTCTTACCATGGAAAAAGTCCCTAGTAATAAAAGTGTTGAAAATATAAGTCCCCAATACGATACTTGCAAAATTATTTCTCAAGCAAACTGGTAAGTGGTTTGCTGTAAAGTGTAAACAAACCCGAAATATTATTAGATTGATGAATAAACAGGCGGACAAAAATGGATGACTGATCACTCCAACGATCCATTTCAAGTGAGAATTTCTATCCTTGAACCATATCCTGAAGCATGTTTGTGGGAAAGCGATCACACATAAATTATTGGACTCAGTTCGCTTTACTCACTAGCAATCCACAATTGATCGCATTACTTGACATCGAACTATAGTTGTTCGCCTTGCTTGGCAGCAGACCAAAACAACGGGTGTAAGGGGTCGATTCATATTTCACCGAACAATGCATTTCTTTTTTTTCTTCCATGATCTACTTGATAGTTTTTTTTCCTGCATAAGAATGATACAGGTTTTTATTTTTTATTATTTAGGTACTATTTAAGGGATCCAACCTGTGACCTCCAAGTTAAATACTAGTGTATTATTACTAGAACAAGCCCTTGTTCGTTATTCTACCGGATAGTTCGCTTAACTATCTAGCGAACAACCTCAAACTCTGGCGGTTTGAAAAATATTTTGAAAAGTTTTGTATTGTATAATTCTTTTTTCTTTTCAACTTTAGCAAGCATTTTAGGATTTCCCCCATACAAATAGACTAGGACTCTCAAACAAGGTTGGGTCGATGTTAATGAATCATATTCCAAAAAAGGAAATGTGATGGTGTCACAGGTAATTGGAAGATGTAGTGAAGTAGTTTGGATGTTGGAACGTGGGGATTTCAATGATGTAGGTACGTAGAGGAGATCATTATTCGGACGGCATAGCTCCAAGTGGCTTCATTGTCTCTTCTCTGGTATGTGTTTAGGACTCAATGAACAAGCACAAAACAAAGGAAAAGTGATGTCACGATCGATAATGGAGATTAGGACGAAAACCCTTCTCTCCTCTGTTGGTTCTAAGTGAAGACCAACTTCTCTATCTCAGTCCAATCTCTTCAAGATAGAGTGCATACAGATTCTGTTTAGTCGTTACACTCTCCTTCTCTCTCCCCCTCCTCTTGGTAAAAAAAAACTCTCACTGACTTGATCGTCACTCGTCATAGGGCGATTCCTGAGTACCAGCGTCCAAGAAATTCACTTGGCGGTGTCGTTTATGACAGAAAAAAGGTGGACCGGCCAGTGAAATCTAATAAGGATCTGCAGAACCTTGTTGTTTTTCTTGGCAGGAACAGAGTATACAGAAAATGGAAGTGGCTACTGAGGGGAGGAGATGGGTGTTTCTTAATGGCTACAAAAATGGACATTTCAGCGGCAGCAAGTCTTTAGGCTAGGGACGGTACCCAATTTTCATAGTTAGGTATTAACGAGCGCCATTAATCGCCAACGGCTGTGCTTCTGCCGTATTTTATCATGGCTTATGGGGTGGGGAGGACTTGCCAAGTTGGCTACATTGAATTAGTGCTAGGTTTTTGTATTTGTTGGCTTCAGCAGTTGAGTAGATTGGATAATTGGATTAAAGGAGAAAAGTATACAAATCATTATATGAAAATATATTTGATTTGGGTTTCAAGTTGTTATTATATGATTTTAGTCATCATTTACAGATCACAGTTTAATAAGTTTAGAGACGATATCAAACTTAATTGTTTTTTCTTTGAATTTCAAGAGAAGTATCCTACAAATAATATAAAAATGTTCTTTTTATCACTCACCCGATTTAAACTATGGGCATCTTTTGGAAGGAGTACTTAATCTTTTAATTACTAGGTTGTTTCGCTACTATTTGCTTGGTGATAACTAAAACCGCAAATTAATTTGTACGTGGCTCCAAATGTTTTTTTTTAGAAACCTTCATTCATTCATTTATTTAAATAGAAATCACATGGTGTTCCATAGAATCTACTTGGAGAAGAGGTACAAGTGAATAAGGTGGGCTGCCAGCCTAAACCTCTTCATTATCCCACTCAAACTCTAAATGGGCCATAAAATGACATGGTTTGTTCTTGTCCCTGCCTGCAAAACTCTAGTCCACCCACTCCATTGTTTGGGCCTTATCTTTGATCTCCTGGCAGATAAGCCCAATCTCCGTCTCCCTCTCCTATGCTCTTCGCAATTGCTGAAGCACGTTCAAACAATCTCCATTTCCCTTACCCCAAACCTTCTAGCCAGCTCCAGACCAAATTCAATAGCCATGGCTTCCGCTTCTTCTGGGTTCCATTGGACCCTCGATCTCTTCACTGCCGCAAACCTAAAACCCCCTTCTTCATCCCGAGCCACCACTCCCCATCCCGTTCCCTGACCGGCAAAACACGGAACGTCGACATTGATT